AAATCAGCACAGGCACTCGCGAAGAATCCAGTGTATCATGATAGAAGCAAGCATATAGATACAAGGTATCACTTCATCAGAGAGTGCATTGCCAAGAAGGAAGTCGAGCTTAAATATGTGAAGTCTCAAGATCAAGTTGCAGACATTTTTACAAATCCTCTCAAGTTTGAAGATTTTCAGAGATTGAGAACAAGACTTGGACTGAAGAAGAAAAATCAAAATTAAGGGAGAGATTTGTGGGGTCCATATCTCACTTACTAAAGGAAATAAGATAGAAAAGTTGAAGAGGACAAAATAAGCTGCTTGAAAAATTGCATATGGGCGGCTGATCAAGATTTCAATTTGCAATGCAAAAGTCAATTTTGATTGGCTGAGAGAGTGGCTATTTTACCTATAAATAGAGATGCTTCCCTCTCGATTTAAACACACCAAAATAAGAGAGAAACAATAGAAGTTAGAGAGAGTAATCCACAGATTGTTGTCTGTGAGATAACTAGTGAGTGGTAGTAATATTGTAGTGAAGTGTTTTATATAAAGAGTGTTATTTCTTTCAAAGTTGTAGTAGTGTCTTGACACTACTGAGTTGTAATATTATAGTGGTAATATTGCTACACTCGGATATTGTATTTTATCCCGCTAAAATATTTGGTGTCATTGTTACTATCTTGTATTATTATTATTTGTTGCGGATATTATTCCTGGGCGGGATTATTTATTTTATCCCAACAAATTACACTCCACTCTGCGAGAGCACGACACTGTGCTAAAACGACATGGGTGATAGCTTTGTTCTGCCCTGCCATGTGCTTTGTTGCAGTAGATTCCTTGAGTGCATTTGCCCTCATCGAAGAGATGGCAGGGAAATGGGGAGTACTGATACACGTAGGGGTGCCTCCTTTTCCATGGATCTTTACCGGCATGGAAATAGGGACAATACCCATGCGGGCGGCATTAACCATTAGGACAATCCCAGACTTTATAAGTCCTTATTAACCAATCCTGGGCTACCAGCAGCGGATGATCATTCATGTATCTGCAAAAGACATTACAAACCCTTTCAATCCACACAAATTCACCGACATTACAAACCCTTTCAATCCACACAAATTCACAGCAGAGAAACAAACTTTTCAATCCACACAAATATATTTCTTGGAGTGAATTTTTGGGCCTTCCTAATTTTTGCACATCAAGAAATTCTTGATTTGCAGTAGGCTAATCATAGTTTTGGCTGAGGGGTCCATGCCACAGGGGTGGCTGAATGGGTAGGCTAGTAAAGCATTTGCTTTAGGGCCCCCTAAATTTTGTAGCTCCAAACATATTTTTAATTGTGAGTTTTCTATCTTATTTTTGCTTAGACAATATTAAAGTTTATACAAACTCCTTATAAAAGTAGAAATAAAGACTGTCTATTTTTTAATAATAGAAATATTTTAGAACTTTGAATTAAGATACTCAAATTTTCTTTTTGGTAAATAATTTTTTTTACAATAAGATCCATGGTAACATATTGTAAATACATGGCTAACATCTTAGTAACTTGAATTTTCTTACCAATGTAAATATTAGTACTACATATTATATTTTGTAAGATAACGAAGTTACAGACAAAAAAAGAGGAAAAAACCAAAAAAAATAAATATTGGTATTACATTTTGTAAGATAATTACAATATAAAAAAAGGCCCCTTATTAAAATTTAGCTTTAGGCTATAAATTTTATTGAGATGTCCTTGCCATGCCATTCGATTAAACTCAAAAGATTTGACTGACCTTTATTTCAACCAGGAAGATGGAGTTGAAATAACTGCAAATTCACTTCATCACGCAAAAAATTAATGATTTGCGGCTTTCAAGAAATGTATTAATTATTTTACCAAAGTTAACCCATAAATACTCTTAATACTACCATAATAAAATCTCTTAATAATTGATCCTTAAGGATACAAATTTGAAACATAAATAAACTTCATAAACTTGTCATGACCCAAAAACTACTAGTCGTGATGGCACCTAACTCGATCCGCTAGGTAAGCCAACTAACAGAAAAATACAACTCGACTAAGATTATAGGAAAATAGAGAATAAATAACTGATCGTTTATAAATTTATCCAAGACCTGGTCGTACGAATTACGAGCTTCTAAGATTTGAAATTTCAAAACTGATACAAATAAATACGCGTTCTGTTTGAAGGTTACTTAAACAGATTAGCAATAATCTAGACTACCAAGGACACGTGGCAGTTATAACCAAACGCACGAACATCTTCTGAATCAACACCCGACGTCACCAGCAGCTCCGCTCCAAAATCTGCACGAAACGTGCAGAAGTGCAGTATCAGTACAACCGACCCCATGTACTGGTAAGTATTTTGTTTAACCTCGTCGAAGTAATGACGAGGCTTTTAGTTAAAAAGATGTTTGTTGCTATAACCTGTACAATAGATTAACAGTAAAGCAGTTCAAAGTATAATGGATAAAAGTATCATATACAACTCGGCGAGACGATCAATAATTACTAAAAAGAACCACAATAGAATAGTTACGATCTTTCTTGGTATGAGATATATGTCCAAAATATCAAATGTCAAATGTCAAATCACATGGCACAGTAAAACCCTTCGTGATTTTATCTCATCCTCACCATCTATAAATAAATTTATGTAAGATTCAATTAGCACGGTAACACCCTTCGTGCGTCCAACTCATCTTTCCAAATAATCATATAATAGAGCCAACCATATCACAAGAACATAATAATAGGAATTACTAAGTAGGAAATACGCAAGTAACAACGGTAAGCAAGGATGCACATGTGGGTCATAGTAAAGGACTAAGCGGAAAGCACGTGAGTAATAACAACAAATGGAAAACAAGGAATATCGACTTCAATTAACTAGCATATTGGAGGCATAAGTACAAATATAACAATTAAGACGAAAACGCATGATCTTTGCAAGTTAACAAGTAAAGGCGTGAATGACTAGCATGGTGGAAGGCTTGAACTAAAGTGCAACAGAATAGATACAACATGAGTATAATTATAAAAACAGTAAATAGGCACAGTATTCGCAGGTTAATCAAGTAAAAGACATGGATAGTGCGACAACAATTGAGATAAAGGTCAAGTACAGGACAATAACAACAAGTCACACAAAATATGTAAATACAACAATAACAGCTCAAGGTAAGGACACGAACGTATACACGAGAAACAGATATCGCATCATAATGCATGTCCCTCATCCTCACCTGTACGGAAACACCCTTCGTGCCATGACCTCACAATAACATACAAGCATAACAATATAAATGAAATGACACGGCATCACCCTTCGTGCTTTTACGCTCAATAATATGGCACGACATCACCCTTCGTGCTTTTACTCTCAATAATGTGGCACGACATCACCCTTCGTGCTTTTACTCTCAATAATGTGGCACGACATCACCCTTCGTGCTTTACACTCTCCCTCACCATGATAATGTATAATAATGACACGACATCACCCTTCGTACTTTTCACTCTTCCTTACCAAGCATATATATAACAGTAACAAACAAGGCACAAAGCATAACTGACATCAAAGAGAGTGTTTAATGGATATTCCAAATAATTCTCAATCACAACTTTCCAAGTTAACAATGGTTCAACAACCCTCAAGAACCGTATTATTCAAATACTTCCACGAATATCATAAATGATACACAACACAAGTATAGAGTCTAGCATCTCAAGAATATCAGTTGTAGTAATGTAGCAATGATTTCGCATAGAGATGACCAAATTAGACACATCAAGGTATTCTTACAATTTTCATCAAGTTTGATCAAGTTATAACAAACTAAGTCTTGATATCTATCATTTAATATTATGTCTTTAGTATCTAAGAGTCAAGTAAGGCATTAAACAGAATGTCACAAAATTCTACACACACAGTTATAACATAATCTACCCCCGAGCATTATTAACCCTAGAACATACATATACGCTCATCACCTCATATATGTATCACCCCCGCATGTAGCAAATAATGACAAATAGGAGGAAAAATTCCCTCAACAAAGCTAGGCAAAATACTTACTTCGATTCGGCTAACTCAACACTCAACTTAGCCTTTTCCTCTACAAATTCGCCTCCGCTCAACTCAATCTAGCCAATGACGACTTGAATACACCGCATAATGCAATAGAAAATAATTTCAATTAATAAAGTTATGATTTTTGTTCAATTTCTAAAAAGTCAACAAAAGTCAAACTCCGGGCCCGCCCAGTCAAAACCCGGGTACAAAGGGAGGTCTTGACTGCTCATAGCCCCACGAGTCCAAATATGTGTTTTATTTTCAAATCTGAGTCTTATTCGACTCTTAAATCTCAAATTTTTATTTTTCAAAACTTTGACAAAATCCCCAAATTTTCCATAGATTTCCCATGAATTTGATGTTAAATCTTGTATAAAATCATGAAATATAGTCGAAAATTGATGAAAGATACTTACCCAATGATTTGGTATGAAGATTCCCTTTCAAAATCGCCTCACCTCGAAGTTAGGGTTCAAAAATATGAAAAATGAAGCAAAAACTCGAAATTCTCAGCACTTAATAGGTTGCAGATGTCACATTTGCGACAAGGGGTTCGCATATTTGCGAACCCCACAATTGCGAAAAACTCATAGCAATTGCGAACCTGAAGGATTTCTGCTAAGGTCATATTTGTGACAAAATCTTCGCAAATGCGAAGACTAGCCTTTGTAAATGCGGCTGGTTCATCGCAAATGCGAAAAGCTACCCAGTCGCACAGGCTTCGCAAATGCAAAGATACCAGAACCAGAAATCAAAAACTATGCAAGAACATTCCGAAACTCATCCGAGCCCTCGGGGCTCCAAACCAAAGATACACACAAGTTTAAAAATACAACACGAACTCGCTCTCGCGCTCAAGTCATCAAAATAACTTCTAAAACCACGAATCGGACGCCAAAACGCATGAAAATCAAACTAAACTTCAAGAACTTCTAGAATCACAACTGAACGTCAGAACCATGTCAAATCAACTCCGAATGGCGCCAAATTTTGCAGAAAAGTTCCATATGACAAGACGAACCTACTCGAAGCTTCAAATCACGCATGACAACCTCGAAACGATGAATCATACCTCAAGTCGAAGTCAATGAAATTTGAAACTTCAACATCCACAACTGATGCCGAAACCTACCAAATCACCTCCGATTGACCTCAAATTTCGCACACAAGTCACATTTGACATTACAGACCTACTCCAACTTCCAAAATTAAAATCCGACCCCGATATCAAAAAGTCCACACCCGGTCAAACTTCCCAAAAATCCAACTTTCGCCATTTCGAGCCAAATTCAACTACGGACCTCCAAATCACAATCTGGATGCGCTCCCAAGTCCAAAATTACCCAACGAAGCTGACAAAACTCCATTTCGAGGTCAAATGCTAAAAGGAAACTTGGTTAACTCTTCCAACTTAGTATTCCACTCTCAAAGTTCATTCTTCCAAATCGATTCCGGATAACTCGAAAACCAATACCGACAATTTATGCAAGTCATAATACATCATGCGGAAATACTCGAGCCCTCAAATACCGAGCGAAATGCAGATACTCAAAACGACCAGTCGGATCATTACAAAACTACTACTACTAGTACCATATTAGATAGGAACTACCTAAAAGCCATTCAATGTTACTACTACAGAACAAACAAAACTGTTAGTTTCAAGGAATCAAATAGTATTAAGTTTCCTACTCAATCATATTGGGAAAGAAAAACCATTACAACAAAAGAGAAGAAAAGGGATAAAGATCTAACCTTTAACTGTATTTGAAATCACGAATGTTGATTGTGTTTTAATTACTAAATCATCAGAACAATTTCTCAAAAAATTCCCAGAAATCTTGATTGTATTCTAATTTCAAGAGAAGAATTCAGTGGAGAACTTAATAATGAGAGAATAGAATGATCAGAAAGAAAGTGAGAGAGAAAAATGGGAGTAGTATATATGACTATATATAAATGAAGGCACCATTCTCCCGTGCACCAGCTAAGGCCTCATTTGTTTGCACTTAATGAATATCTGAATCTTAATCATTCAGATCTAGCCCATTAAGTGTATTTGTTTTTTAAATCTTAACCCTGATTATTCAAATCCAGCCCATTAAGTCTATTTATTTTTTCCCTATTAAAAGCTCTTACTAGGTCTGATAGAATCTTATTCGGTCAGATCCATAACAAAGTCCTACCAGCGTTCAGACTCTTTGAAAAAAACCGATACGACTTTATTTCCGCAAATATTCGCTCAACAACTGCTTTATTTTAGCAAAGTTTCACGCTGTGCTTCTTCATATTCTGTGCATAAATTTCACGCCTCTGTCTCACTCTCCATCTATCATCGTCTACTCAAATTTGTTTTCTCTTCAACAGGTGAGTTCTAAAACCTTTAGAATTTCTTCTTATTATTTTATGAGATTCGCAATACGCTTGCCTATTATTTTGTGATATACTTGTTTGAGTTTCAGGATTTCAATTCTATTCTCTAATAGTTGGTTCTACAGTGAAAAATTAGAAAGTTTTACAAAACTTTTGAGGTTTATCTCTGGATTATCTTAGCAAAGGGGTTTTCGATTTTTCCAGAAAGTGAATTTTTAACCCAAGCATTAATAGGTATCATAATATGAGCATTATATCTCTGGTTTCATGATTCTACCAAGTGACGTATGCTTCGATTATCTTAGGGCACATCGAATTAATGACTCAGTTTCATGTGCGACTCTTGTCCTTCTTCTATTTCACTAATTTGTTATGAACGTGGGCTATTAGATTTTCGAAAAAATATATCCAGTACCATATATAGATTTGATGTTAATTGTAGCATATCTTCCTGTTTTTCTCACTTTGGAGAATTGTTCAATACTTTTGAACAACGGCCTAGTCGATAGTAAGCAAAACGCCGATGTAAAAGTTTTACTTTTTTATTCTCTTAAAGAACTTATAAACTTTCTTCTCGCCCTCATCTTATGAGCGTCTTTTTTTACTAAACTTTCTATTCCTCTTCGTGAAGTGACAATTTGAAACTCATATGTGTCGGTGAGTCGGCAATATCACATGAAACTTGAGCATTAGTATTTGAACTTTAGTCGGACCTTAGACCTTAGTAGCTCTCTCTTTTTGTGTCTTGTGTGTAAAAAGGCTCTCATTATATCCCTTTTGCAGATGCACCTTCATACATTTATTACTTTTTGAATTTAGGATAATATGAAGTATGAGATCTGCAACTAATCTGATTTGAGTTTATAGCCAATAGCATAAAATAGAACCTAAAAGTATTGTCAATAAAATGAGAACATGCATGCTGGCACTAAGCATAGCATAATAACAATAACAATACTTAGTTCTAGCTTTCTGCCTAGGCTAACTTGTTTCTGCAAACTCTATTTCTTTGTCTTATCACTTATGTCATTCGGCTTTCATGTGTAGAATAATAAAATGATGAGCTTTTTAATGAAATGTGCATGAAACAGTGATATACTCTTCCAGCTGGACTTCTCATTTTATCTTGTTTAATTATAGAGAAACAAAATTTCATTGCTTTGGCCTTTTGGATGTTGAAAATTTATCTGTAACCAATTTAACTTATGGGGAGTACATAGATCTCCTTTCTATGTTTTCACAACAGAATACATTATGATAGATGCTTTTTAGCTAAGGTATAACATAACTACAAGGAAAAGGTTAGCTCTGTGTGATAGCTTATCAGTCTCATCCTTCAGCGAGCCGCATGTCCCAATTTTGCATTCAAAACTATCTCTTACCTTTTTTCCAAAGCATAATCAATTATATAGACTGTTGTTTGTTGAGAAGACAATATTAATGGCAAATGGTTCTTGGCTGATGAATACGGATATGAATGTGATCATGATAGTACATGTTACTGTAATTCGGTCTTAAAGTTATGTATTTGTTCTTTTTCAACTCTCCACTATCTTGGTGCGACACGAAAGAAGCAGTGACATATATATTGAACGGTGTCATATTCGGGTTGGGTCCCAAACGATAAAGCTGGTTTTGGTGTTACTCCATGACATTATAGAGTTGGTATTAGGCTATAGTCATAATCATAAGCAAATTGCAGTAGGCTGAAAAAGTTTACATGTCAAGTGATGCTTTCCAGGACCTAACTGGGGGCATATAAGATTAAACATCTAATTGTTGGAAAGACTGGGTTTGTTGGGGATTGTTTTCATTGATTGTCTCGGTTTTGTTACTTTTATTTTCATCAGCTCATTTTCTATAATCATTATTATTTTATATTTCAGCTATGGAACAATCTAGTGAAAATTCAAGAGCAAGTTGGAAAAATATGGATGTAGTAAAAACCTTTTTAGAAAGTTGTATTCAAGAAATATCCTTAAATGGGAGACTTGGAAGTAGTTTAAAGGCAGATTCATGGATCAAAGTTAAACAAAATTTGGAGACTTCTCATGGCTTTAGAGTTACACAAAAGCAGATGAAGAATCATTATGATTATCTAAAAGAAAAGTATCAAGCTTGGTTGCCAATAACCAAAAAGACTGGCAATATTTATGACCCAACAACCAATACCATTCTAATGTCTAATAGTGAATGGAATGAGTACATAAAGGTTAGTTCATTATTTAAAGTTTTATCTTATTCTTTTCTTTTTTCTATAAAGAAAAAAGTTTGGCGTGTATATTAAAAGTCTCTTTATTATAGGCTCATCCAAAAGCAAAGGCATTGAGGACTTCGCCTCTACCCTTCCTAGATCTTTGTACAAAATTTTTTGAGGGTTCTACATCAACATGAATTCATGGTTGGAGTCCAAGCTGTACATATCCCCGCCCTAGTATCTCTTCTGTATCTACTACTATAGATGTAGATACACTTGATAGCATTGAAGATCTAGTTGGTAATAAGAATGATGGAGCTCCTACCGATTATCCATCTCAGTCTTCAGTTCCAATTGAAAAGAAACCTTTGGGAATGAAAAAAAAAAATCCGCATCGTCTCAATTGGACATTGAAGAGAAGATGAGTATTGCATTAGAGTTATTGGTTAAAAAAAATAGCAGGCCTGACGTTGAAGAGTGTATGAAAAAATTAGAAAAACTTGGATGGGAAGAACCATTATATAGTGCAACTGTTAGTATACTTTGTGAAGGTGACAACTACAGGAAAGCATGGATGAACATTACCATTAGAGAATTGGATTAAGGCCATGGGAAAAAAAATGGGACTTCTTTGATTTTGTTAATAAGACTCGACGAGACATTAGTACATGCAGTTATTCCTGCTAATCAACAAATTGTTTACAGAGGAAGAGGAAAGGATAAATGCTATCAGAATGTTTTAGCTATATGTGATTTTAATATGGTCTTCAATTATGTTTATGCTGGATGAGAAAGGGTAACACATGATGCACGTGTTGTAACAGAGATCACGTCTAATCCAAATAATGGATTTCCGTTTCCTCCTTCTAGTAAGTGATACGACTTATTAAACTATTCTGAAATAATAAATTAAATGTTTATTATATTCATTTAACCTTTTTTTAATGACAGATAAGTACTATTTATGTGATGCGGCGTATCCTAATACTCGAGGATTTCTAGCACCATATCGTAATATTCGATATTGGTTAGGAGATTATCATCGTAGACGTGCCATAAATAAGAAGGAAAAGTTTAACCATGCTCATGCACAACTTAGAAATGTTATTGAACGTGCTTATGGAGTTTTAAAAGCAAGATTCCCAATATTGGACAAGATGACTCCATATTCTATTGATGTCCAAAGAAATGTTGTTATTGCATGTTTTGCAGTTCATAATTTTATCAGAAAAGAGCGACTAAATGATGACTTGTTTAATCAATATGATTTGCCTCAAGTAATATTTGAGGAAGAAGGAGAACACGAACAAGTATTGGATGAAACAAACGGACCTAGCTGGACAACTGAAGATTCGCAATTTATGAACAATATGCGTGAAGGAATTGCACTTCAGCTAGTGCAAGGAAAAGGAAATGCTTGATAGTTTTATATTTTTGTTATTCAAAATATGTTTTTAATGTTTGAACATTAGAATTTGAAATAATTTTAATTAACTATTTTATTTGAATTTTATATATGTTATGTTTAAACATAGATAAATTACACATATTCAGATACTAAAAACAAACAGTCTTAATCATTCAGTGTTCAGATCCAGAGATAACATATTAATTATTTAGTTGTGTATTGAGATTCAGACGTCTGAATCTTAATACACTTTTTTATATTCAGACGTGTATTCAGATTCAGACCTCTTAATCTTAATAAAAACAAATGAGGCCTAAGTCTATTTCCTTTCTGTTGTTCTATTAATGAGTTTTAAACTTAAATAAGTCTCTAATAAAGCGTACAAAATGACAATTAAAAGTCAAAACCCTCCTCGGATTGACTTTTAAAGACACTTTTTTGTCTACTCAAATTTCAATATCGAAGAAATAATAATAATAACTAAACCTCGACATTACTTCAATCTTATTCCCTATAAATTTTGTTCCCTTCCATGCACTTTAACTGATTTTTTATCTTTTTTTTTTCATGGTTTACAATATCTGATTTTTTCAGATATCAAAAAGGAGTTAACTTTTTTTTTTTCAAAGTTGCCCTTGGAGTAAAGAACCTAGGAGTATTTGCTATATTTTCAATGAACAAATTAAAATTAATATGATCAATATCATTATTATTTAATGCTAAAATATGGATTCTTAATAACTAATATGGGTAAAAATAACTAAAACATTAATTAAAATGAACTAAAGGGAGTACCATCTCTACTCCTTGTACGAATACCAATATCTCATTACGTAGTAGATTAGTTTGGTTGCGGAGATAGTAGCAATAGCGGTGGCTAGTAAGTAGTAATGGATGTGATCGACTTCAATAATAATTATACGGGTATAATTATTAATACCTGCATAACTAAAATAATATGTTATCTTATTCAAGACAAAATGTGAAATAAAAAGACATGAATAACATACCTGATGAAGAGTAATTACGGACAATTCCAAGAGCCAATTTAGATTAATCTAAGCGGTGTCATGCGTTTTACTAAATATAAAGGCATACATAAAATACACAAAAACCAAAATTAAAATACAAATTAGATCAAAGTGACGTTACCCATCAATATTCATATCCTGTCTCGGTGGTCAGACGTGCTACATTAGTTTGGCAAGTGGTAGCGGATAGAACCTTTCTCTACATGATCAACTGTATAATTTGAATAGCTTTTAGCATTATTTTTTTTTTATTTATAAAAGATTAAACATAAGTGTTTTTTAGCCTTACTTTTTAGTAAAAGATTAGACATCATTATTTTAAATGTTTTAGCTTTATTCTTTTGTAAAAGATTAGACACCATTAGATGTGGCAAAATGGTAAAAACAATAGTTATCCACCCATATTATTCATTAAAAAATTGGTTGGATAATGAACTTTTTAAAAACGAGTCGAATATGGATAAGACTCATATTATTCACTTAGAAAATGGTTAACTAAATGGATAGCCATTTGATAGCTAATGTGTTTAACTTTTATATTTGTAAAGATTCAAATTGGGGGTTGCTCACGTTTGGAAGACTAGAAATTCTCCCATAAATGATCATATTCAAGAAGCCATGGATAATATGAATATCCATATTATCCGCCGGATAATCCGTTTTTTATCCATCTCAAATACAGGTCGGGTCAGATAATTTACCCGTTTTTGAATTATCCATTTTCAACCAGCTTATATCCGATTTGACCTGCCCGTTTGCCATCCTTAGACACCATTGAAAATTGAACTTAAACCTCTTCTAATGTTAGTTTTCACTACGGGCTTGGAAAGCTACATTGTAAGTGGATTTGAATGTAACTAGTCAGTTTGGCATAATTGCTTGATCAACATGAAATTGATTGTAATTGAGGGAGACCAATTACACTGTAACAATCTGATCGATCGTTTTGCTTTCTAGATTCCCGTTCCCCTATTTAAGACTTTCCGTATGCGCTTTTACTGTCTTATGACTTACGGGGACGATTGGTTTGGTTTTGGAAGGATCCATATTGAATTCGAAACACTTAGTTCAATAATAGTGGCCTAAGGTAACCAAGTTTGACTTGAGTGTTATACTCTAACTAAACGGCCTCAGAATCGGGATTTGAAGGTTTCAATAGGTCCGTATGATGATTTCAAACATGGGCGTGCATTCAGATCGAGTTTCAGGGTGATCCGGGAGCGTTTCGGCACTTATTGTTGAAAATTGGCGTCGCGAAAGTTTAGAGTTTTCTAAGTTTGACTTGAAGTAGTGTAATGATCCGGCCGATTGTTTTGAGTATTGTAGCCTCGTTCCCCTATTTATTGCTTATTGTATGTTCGTTTGTTATTATGCGACTTGTCGCAGTGGTTGGTTTAGTTCCGGGGGTGTTTCTGAATGAATTGAGACACTTAGTCCCAAAGTTGGAAGCCTACGTTGAAAGAGTTGATCGGATGTTGAATTATGTGTAAATGACTCCGGAATGGAGTTTTGATGGTTCTGATAGTTTCACATGGTGATTTTGGACTAAGGAGTGTGTCCGGATATCAATTTGGAGGTCCGTAGGTAGTTTTGGCTTGAATTGGCGAAAGTTGGAAATGTTAAAGTTTGGAGAGTTGAGAAGTTTGACCGAGAGTTGACTTTGTTGTTACCGGGCTTGGATTTTGGTTCCGAAAGTTAGAATAGGTCAGTTGTGTTATTTATAACTTGTGTGCAAAATTTGAGGTCAATTGGAGTTGATTTGGTGTATTTCGGCATTTGTTTTAGAAGTTAGAAGTTCAATTGTTATTAGGATTGAATTGGGGTGCGATTTGGGTTTTTAATGTTGTTTGATGTGATTTGACGGTTCAACTAAGTTCATATGATGTTTTAGGATAGGTTGGTATATTTGGATGGGGTTCCGGGGCCTCGAGTGTGGTTGAGATGGAATTTTAGAATTGTATAGGTGCTGGTGTGTTCAACTCTGGTGCGTTCGCACCTGCGGTGGCAGTGGCAGCATATGCTGTACCACAGGTGCGACACTTTGTTCGCATATGCGGACAAGAGAGAAGGAGGGTAGGCTCACAGAAGCGGGTGAGTTTCCGTTGAAGCGAAAGCGCTTATGCAGTGAGGAGTCCGTAGGTGCGGAAATTGAGAGTTTGGCCTGGATAAGCAGATGCGGACATGGGGCCATATGAGCGGTCTCGCAGGTACGAGCTTTTGGCCGCAGAAGCGGCTGTTCGGGTGTCTAGTGTTTTCCGCAAAAGCGGAGGTCATGACCACAGGTGCGATTTCGCTGGTAGAATAGATATAAATGAGGGTTAGAGTAATTTCTTCATTTTTAGACTTTGGGATCTCGGATTGAGGCGATGTTTGAAGGATTTTTCACTAGATTACAAGAGGTAAGTGATTTTTGATCACTTTTATCCATGTATTTTGAATACCCATTGATTATTTCACCTAGTTGTCATGAATCTAAGTTAGAATTTAGGGATTTTTGAATCATGTATTGGAGAGTAAGATTTGGGGGTTTGAGTGTCAATTTGTGGTGGGAATTAGATAATTTTGGTATAGTTGGAATTATTATTGAATGGGTATTCAGATTTTGTAAATTTTATCGAATTATGAGACGTGATCCCGGGGTTGACCTTTTGGGTTGACTTTTTGACTTTGGTTAAGGAACTTACCTTTATCGTATGGAATCAATTTTTAAAGCTTGTATTGATTGTATTAAGTTGCTTGTGGATAGATTCGAGTCATTCAGAGGCCTATTCGCAAGGCAAGGCTTGCTGGAGTTGTGATTTGTGCGATTTGAGGAAAGTAACACTTCTGAACTTGCTTATGGTGGCATAAATCCCTGAAATACGTGTTTTATGGTTGGTATTGAGGTGACGCACATGCTAGGTGACATGCGTGTAGGCGTGCACTGTGGTAATTATGACTTGGTTGATTCTGTGGTACCGTGTAGTTATTAAACCTTATTGCTATTCATGTAATCCCTATGTGTTAGAGTAGTTGAGCTGCGATCCATGTTATAAGAAAGCATGTTCTATATGCTTATTTCATTGGGACCTTCTAAGGTCATTTCTGCTGTTGAATTATTTGCTTAAACTGTAATTATATTCATCATTTGCATATTATATCTCAGTCACTATTGTCATTTATTGTCCCATCATGTTATCATTATTTGGGCTGATAGACATGAGATTTGTTAGCCTGGGATACTGGAGAGATTGATAACTGAGTTGGGGCTTGAGGGCCAGATTGTGAGTGATATTTATGGGATCGGGTTGCATGCCACAACACATTTTATTGATTCATGATGGGATCGGATTGTATGCTGCATCAGGTTTTGTTGATTCATTATGCGATCGGGCTGCACGACACAACATGTTTTAGTGATTTATGATGGGATCGGGCTGTATGCCACAGCAGGCCATGTTGGCTTATTTTAGCATTTTGGCAGGATCCATCCCCCCAGAGTCTGACATACCAACAGTGAGCACAGGTACCGTACAGTGCTGAGTGATTGAGTCTGCTAAGTGATGAGTGGGGAGTGTGAGATAGTGATATTGAGTACTCTGAGAGTGTAAGTACATTAGTTTATCACTATGATGCATTACATGTGACATGCACATTTGACATGTAGACATAGGGTGTGTTTGGTATGAAGGAAAATATTTTCCAATTTTCCCATGTTTAGTTGGCTTAAACGGTATGGAAAACATTTTCCTCCAATTAGAGGAAAATATTTTTCAAAACTCCTTCTTAATTTTCCTCACCCTATTCCCCATCCCCACNCTCCATTCAAAATAAAAATATTATTAATAGCATTTTCTTTTCATGTTATAGATAGATTTGTTTTTTTCATTTTAACAAATGAGTATTTTTTAAACGATATAAAAAATATTTTTTTTCGTTTCAACAAAAAAAGTACTTTCTTTTTATGAAAAAGGTATTTTCTTTCATTTTAACAAAAAAAATA